CCCTACGGTGTATTCCAGCCTAAGTTTATTCTCTGCTGCATAGCCTGGATGGTGTAAACCGGTTATCACAAATTACAGTGCAGCGTGTTCACTAGAGGCTGCAACTAATTTAAATGATTCACCATCCCGCACTTTCTATTTCCTTTGAATAAATTGGATAATTTTTTTCTAGAAATTCAAAAGCCACAGCTGGAAGCTCTCTTTAAATGGATGCCTACTGATACGATCGCTTGGAATGCAGTTGATCCTGTAAGTAGAGGGACGCATTTCCGGTAGCTTGTGAAACATCACTGGATTGCCTGACTAAAGTGAAATGAATTACACTGACCGCGTGCAGTATGTGCCATTATTGAGAGACAGCACAATGACCAAGAGAAAACTGGAATCTTCTGAATTTCACTGCCAGACACTGATAGCTGATGGATAGCAGGTGCAAATGACAGAGAGGGGCAGCAGCTGGACAGGAATTGGTCTTGTGGACAAGCTTCGGAGGAATTAGGCACATGTGTTTCTGAGTCGGATACGAAAAGAGCAAAGGTTGCAGGCAAAATCAGGAGTGACGTACTTGGCCCCATGCGTACCTTCATTGTGCCAGTACGAAATGCTTCGCAAGAACCTCGTAAGCGATTTCGCTAGGCACTAGGCTAGTTGGAATAAGATTTCTTACGCACATGAAAAAAAAAAATGAGGTACCCTTTTCTCCAAAAGACACTATTTTGTTTGGAGATTTAAAATTTGGGCCGTTTTGCTTCAAACTCCCACAGATTTTCCAAATCCTGGATAAATTTTTGAGCCCAAATCGCTGTGTGCTTAGGCTTTTCGGAGGGACGAGCTCAGGAGAGCACGAAAACGATTGCACGGCTAAGTCTCTGATGCAGAGGACTGTGCGAGAAAGTTGCATCCACGAACCAGTTCTGCTCCGGATCCGAGTCGCTTTCAGTGACAGTTTAAAAGTTGGAATAGAAAAAATTTTTGAATAGTTAAATAGAAGGGCCGGAAGCGGGGCAAGAGAAGAGGGACGAGCGAGGGCGGGGGAGCAGCGCTGGTGGAGACAGAGTTATTATAACTGTGGAAAACGTGGAATACCTGCGCGGTGCAGGGTGTGAGCATTACAGAAATGAAGAGCGAGACGGTGGCGCTGGACAGTTGTGGCATCCTGCACACTCCGGTAATCTTCCAAAATGGTCATTGTATGGTGTGGACGGATGTGGTTGCGATGAAGGAACCGGTGACGGGGAACTGGTCAACCAGAGCAAGACCGGATCTCGATCCACAACGATGACAGTGTTGATGACGATGAGCTGCTGGTACCGGCGATAACGATGGTGGATAAATTTGGACAGAACTTTGTACACACCCTTGTGCGCCCATTCGTCTGGAAAGTATGGCGAACGTTTTTTCCACCAACACATCCCCATCCAATGAATCAAATTTCCATGCACCGCTCCGAGAGGATTTGTTGATGGAGAGATGCGGAAGGGACGGGGAGCGTGTGACCGGACCGGATAATGGACAGCTCTGCAAATTGAACCATATTTCGAAGGCGAACGCATGACCAGGCGTGACACATCATGGACATACCACGCATGGTCAGCAACGTCCAAAGTTAGGCGGCCACGTGACCAAACATTTTCGTGGCCAGTTGTTGTGAGCACCAAGGACTCTTGAGATACATGCACAGAGCTGCTGAGCTTCATTTTAATGGACATCTTGGCTTTTGCCGCAGTTTTAGATCACAGGAATTTTCATGCATCCCTTCCGGCTGCTCCGTATTCGTGAGATTAAATTGAGTTTGAATCAAAATTCATATTCTGGAGCTGATTTCAGGTAAGTGACTCATCACAGTTAAATCTCATAAGTGTAGCTTCTCTTGCCTTTCAGTTATACCGACCGATCGCGTACTGAGTCTACCAGTGACAGTTCAAAACGCATGCACATCAAACACCCAGATTTGTCGTAATTATCGCACACTGCTTGTTAATTTGAACTTCCAAAAATTCGAATATGCAATTTTTTTTTTCGATTTGATTTAGAACATTAGCATGGGACTGAATTTGAGGTTAAGCCTTGCATGGACGGGAGCCAGGAGGACTTTTGGAGCGGAGAAGCGCATTTGTCGGAAATGGCATTGGCAATGCCGACATATTTTAAATACCGAAAAGGAGCCAGTGTGCTGGCCATCTGAGGAATACGAGGAGGTCCAAGAGTGGTCAGTTCCCAAGGGAGCAGTGTAAGGTGGTACATCTAACAAAATGAATTATCCGCCCTCAAACGCACACGCATCGATCCACAGCAGCTCTGGCTTAAATTTAACCTTTCTTCTTGTCATGCGCCACGCATTTCATTTTTGCCTCATCCCGGCCCTCACCGCATATCCCCCCTCCCTCCCTCTTTTGCATTAGCTTGCCCCTTCATTCACGATCAGCTCGGCCATGCAATTTGCATTCATTTTTGGGTTCGGGTTGTGAAAATTATGGTCAATTTTTTCCTCAAAATATGGTTCTAAGTGTCGGGTTCAAGGGGGCCAAGTTTCCCTCAGCATCAAGGTCCGGGCTGAGCATGAAAAACCTATAGTGACCCCTCCCCCATAAACCCCGCCCCTGTCCTAGCTCCTGCTTCTGGGCGGGACCTCAGCTCTTTTGCAGCTAATAATCGTACCCTTCTTGCCCCGCCGCTACGACTCACTGCAACAGAACCTACTCAGCTTCTTCATAGCCAATAATCGCGCTCTTCCTGCCCCGTCGCTACGGCCCCCTCGATCTGAACCTGGGCGGGGTTTCATCCCTTTTACAGCCAATAACCGCGCCCTCCTCTATTTCGCTACCACTCGCCGGATCTAAATTATCCCCACGGCTCCCACCCCCTCCCTCCAACCTCTATTGTCAACTCACCTCTCGACCCGGCCGAGCCGAGTTTTAGTAGCTGATCCCCTCCGGATGGTACCCGGGCGCAGCTGAGGCGCATGGTGGAGCGCTGCAGCGGTGCGCGACGAGTCCGAGTGGGCGGTGAGGATGGCGAACCAGAAATATTGGCGCGATGGTCAGTGCGTTAGGCGCGTTGGCTTCGAGCGGTTGGTTCGGTGGAGGGAGGAGGGTTTGGTGGGGGATGGTCGCAGAAGTGACAAGTTACGGGGGCATTCTGAGATTGTATGGGGATCGGTGCATATGAAAGCCCAAGGGCCTCCGAACTGATGCCTCACTGGCTGTGTATGCTGCCATAGTTCCCATTCTTGGCCCTACATTTTATCGTTGCCGGATGTAAAATTCCGACAGTCGCTCGCACAAGGCTTGCCCTCTCTCTCATTTCCCCGAAGACGACTGTGGATCTGAGCGACTACCCCATTCAGCTTTTTATAGCCGGGATTCTTAGCTGTTGAAAAAAAGGCTAAATTTTGCAGAGTCTGCAAATATTGGGTGGCTCGCGTTCGGCCCTCCGTCTCTTGTTTCACTTGATTTTTGGTCTTTCAAAATGCTTGATTTAGCGAAAATTTCAAGTGGTTCCTAGTCTCTGGATACTACTACTACTACTACTACTACTACTACTACTACTACTACTACTACTACTACTACTACTACTA